ATTGCGGCAGCGGGCGTTTGGGCTGGCAGCAGCGTTACCCCTTGGTGGGAGTGAGGAGTGACTCCAGCACGGGGATGAGGGTGCAAGTCTAGCCCCACTGCCGGGGAGCCGGGAGCCGCAGCAGGAGCTGCACTCAGAGGCCGTTCTCCCTAAGACACCGGTGTCGCGTACAGAGCATCCCTGCTGCTGTCGCGGTGCTGAGCGTTCAGGCATCTGTCCTTCTGCCTCGCAGGTGCTGTCTGCAGAGGACCTACAGTCAGGTCAGTCTGTCCCGCTGCCCCAGGAAACCCATGGTGCACATAGGCCCTGCCACCACGCGTGGGGACACAGCCACCAGGTCCCAGCAGTCCAATGCTCAGGGGAGGCAGAGCAGGGACCATAAAGGCCACCAGATCACTGGGGAGGCCCCCAGCAGAGCATCTGATAGCACTGCCTACTTATCTGGGGCAGTTTGAAACCAGACAAGCAAAAGCGGCCCGAGTCCTAGCCCCATTGCTGCCCCATTTAATGGTGAGAAGGGCAAGGAATGAGCTGCGCCCTTGCCCACAGTGTGCATGTTCATGGAGAGCAGCCTGGGTCGGCTCCACTGGAGGCAGAACCTGGCCCCGCTGCTGCAGCGCCTGGCTGAGACCTTGGCCTGGGTGCTGCGGAACCCCCCAGCCAGCTCCGGGCCCTGGGGCTACGCGGCCGTCAAGGTAAGTGCCACAGTTCAGACAGTGGGGAGGATCTGTGCCCTGCAAGAACACGAGCTGCTGGGGCCCCCTGCCCATGGATCCAACATATCTCCTTTGAATGGCAGTCCTGTCTCTGAGGACCCACGAGGAGCAGCGCGGGTGTTTTCTGGAGGTGAGGGCTGTTTCACACGCTCCCTGTGCTCCCCTCTGCTCCAGGCCTGTCTCCAGCTCTTCCAGGCACTGCCCAAGGACGTGGCCCCCCTGGTGTGGAGCGAGGCAGAGAGGAGCGAGACGCTGCAGCGCGTTTTGGGACTGCTGCTGGAGGTCATCATGGGCAAGGTCTGTACGAGCCTGGCAGCTGCCTGGCTGGTGCCCAGGGCCCCAGGGGGCAGCGCTCACCCAGCCTGGGGAGCAGCACTGACATCCTCCCCAAAACAGCAGTGGAGCTACCCCGCTCCACTGGGAGGTCGCTGCAGAAAGAGTCCCAAGGGCCCCTGTGTCGCTGCCTCTGTGCTACGTGGGCACGGAGAGAAGTGGGGCTCACTGCAGAGAAGCGGAATTCAAATGTGGTTTTGTTTCTTAAAAGGCGTTTTCCACTATAACTTTGTCTCGCCTTTGCGTCCAGGCCCCGAACAAGGACACGCGGCTGCTGGCGGGCACCGTGCTGAGCATGCTGGTGAACACGGCCCCGCAGCCCGAGAGCGGGGCCTGCGCCGCGCGGGCGCTCGTCCAGCTCGCCGATGAAGGTGCGCGTTCGTTCCTGAGCCGGGAACGGCCTCTTACCCAGGGGACAGCTGGGGCCAAGCACATTTGGGTGAGAGGGGACTCAGGCAACTCACCAGTAGTCCAAACCAGACTGTGCTGCAGCATCCCGCTTTCTGCACGCTGGAGTTCCTACTGGCGCCATGCCTGTCCAGCCGCTCCCTT